CGTCAGAAGAAGCTTTTTCAGAGTCAGTGAAGCCTCAAGCCTTTCCTTGATTTTTAAAGATCTCTCAAGTTCAGGAGATGGCACCTTTAGCCTGAAGCTTGATATCCGGGCATCTGACGGAAGCTGATTGGGAAGAAGACTGACCTTAGCATGTCGACAGATCAATGAATACAAAGCAAATGTACCACCTGGAAAAGTTAAATGACCATGAAATAGATAATATGCATTCAACCAAGCATTGACTTTGTACTGCAATAACTGCATACACAGTAGGTTTGTTTGTACTGTTAGAGAGAAGGAAGAAGGGGGCCCGGGGGAGGGGAAGAGAGAGAGAGAGATAGAGAGAGAGAGAGAGAGAGAGAATAACGACTTAATTTACCGAATCCCACATACCTTCACCATCATCATTTGCCCAAAGAACCACCAGCACATACTTAAGCAAGGGGATCAAGATTAACGTGTACAGGACTAATGACATTGCTCCAATAACATCCTCATTTCCATTAATAGGTGCTTTTTTAAACATGACACTGAACGTATATAATGGACTTGTTCCAACATCACCAAAGACAACTCCAAGAGTCTGAAAAGCAATTATTATTTTCCTTCCGAGACTGAAATCCTGCAATTAAAATTACATTATTAAGGAAACTTGGTTTAGGTCACTAAATAACTTCATATTTCGGCATAGGTCAATGGTCATTAGCATAAGTTAATCAAAACAAATTTCCTCTTCAATTAAGGTAAAAAAAAAAAACCAATTTTCCTCTCCAACCAAGGTCAATACCCCTTCCTAATATCTCTCTTTATTGACCTCTTACAAAAATATTGCTCGACTCAATTCAAATGTGAAAAATATTTTGTGACATAAACATAATTCAATAGTTTAGCAAAAAGACAAATTCTAAATTATAAAAGCAAAAAAGAAAAAGAAACACAACTACAGAAAAAAAGAAGAAGGAAGATATGTGTTCCAAGTAAGGACTTTTGTAACAAGGATCCCTCTTTCAGTAGAAATTTAAAATTTCATTTCAAACCTTAGCTATGTACGAATTCATAATAGAATACTTTTCTTACGAACTCAATATAACGCAGACGATGAACTATAAGGAAGACTAATCTATCAATCCATATTGGAGAAAAATGCCACTTTCTCCAGTAAGCATAGACAATGCAAGTTAACTGCTTTCATGAAGCAAATTTCAAAGTGACCATGAGTTGCCTAGGTAATAGTTCGTTGTCAAAGTTCAACATACTCATGGGGTTATGATTACAATTTATGTTTCTAAATATTATCATCATCCAAATGTGACAATACCAAGTTGCTAAACACTAGATCTCAATCTTCTTGACATATTCCCAAAGTAAAAAGGAAAATAAACATAAGAAGATAACTAAGGTTTCTTGAAAATTATTGAGTAAAACTTCCTCCTGTCTCTAGTTGCTGCCATTGTAGGTCTTTTCCAATGCTAACTACTCTACTCCAATTAAATAATGGTCCAAAGAGATTAAAATCATAAATGGTGAGAAAGGGAAGTCTATATTCAGAACTACATAAAAACTCAGCACATTATCCCCCAAATGGAAAATTGCAGCACTCAAATCAGCCTTACAGCATCGAGTATATAAGAGTCTTTATTAAGCGAAAGTTCAATGGCTACAGAAAGAACATAAGAAATGCCTGGCAGTGGAAAAGAGGTTCACCACCAAGCAAACCTTCTTACAATAAAAAAAAATCTTAGAAACAGGAGTATACAACTCCTATCCACCAGCAACAACCCTCCCAAAATCAACTAACTGGAGCCGCCAATCCAAATGAAGAATGAAGAAATGGAAATCTCTAAATACGGCCTCTACCATTGGTAGCAAGAAATTTGAAAGCCTCACCCTACCCCATAAAAACTATCCCCTTCCCCTCCTTCCCTAGAAAAACAGCCAACTCAGCCCCGCCTCAGCTTCTGCCACAATCCAAGAGCTACTGGGGAATGAAGTAATATATAATCAACATTTTCTACTCCATTATCGCACATAGAAAACTAATCTGGTCCCTGACAAAGGATAATACCAAAATTTATTGACCCTATCCACGTATACATATGTACCTTACTAGGTAACTCAGCCGTCCAAAGCAATTGAGATGGTTCAAGAAAAGGTTCCATTTGAGGAGAAGAATGGATTAAGCATGATTACATTGTCATATTTCCTTATCATTTGAACTTTGGTGTTGATGATTTATGAATTGTACTTCCTATGGTGTATGTGATTGATGTATGAGCATTCTGTTTCATAAAGAAGGTTCTGGAGGAAGTCAAAAATCATCACAAATTCCAAACTTAGAATGGTAAACAAGTATGCAATTTGTGACAATGTAACTTACGTTCACTAAAAGCTGCCATTTTGCATTAATGAGTTTCCATACTCCTCTCTATGACTCTATCCCCACCCCCAACATTATGTAACTGCTTTGAAGTTCTGCTCAAAGATTCAAAAGAGTCAAAATAATCCAACCTTAATTGTTTACCACAATTAGAACATCAGCTACTCATTTACCTTCACAAAGCCACTCATACCATGCTCATGAGCCCTTATATAACATTCAGAATTTCAATAAAGCAGAAAAAGCACATAATCCTAAAACGTATATGACGTAAATGCTTAGGCAGTTCATTTTTTTTAGCACTGCGTTATACCAGAAATAGAGCTAGCCAAAAAGAGTAACCGTTCACAAAGTAAAAAATTAAACTCCAAGGTCTGAAAAATGACAATATCTTAGATTGGGTAGGACGCTAAACATGTCCCTTTAGAGCCTAAGCGTCAACATTGTAAGGCATCCATTAGAACTAAAATAATTATTAAAAACAGGGATGATAAAACCGAAAAATCCAGCTTCACGTGTACCGTAAATCGCTGTTGTAACACCTCTAGATACGCAACCGATAATTGTCCAATAAGTAAATCTCCCAAAATGTAAATTAGCCACCAAGCTAGAAAGGATGTATGTATGTATGTATGCAGCACAACAATATAGGAAAGTAAAGCTAATACAAGCATTGATCTACATCTCACAAAGCAATGCCGAAAGAGCGAGGCTACTCGAACCGAATCGAAAAATGCAAGTCGTAATCTCATCACAAAGTAAATAGCAAAGGGGAGAGATTGGGAGTTTGAAGCACCTCGTATTCGTTTCGGAGAGCGCCGGGGACCTCGAGCGCTTCTACGTCAAAGGAATCGACGCGAGGGCCAGTGCGAATCAATCGCTGATCGGCATTATCGTCCTCCTCTTCATCATCCTCCGAATCCACAACCGTCCGATGCAGCGCATGTGCCTCTGCATCGTCGTCGTCGAGGTCGGAGTCGTCCTCGTCCTGAAAGACCCACCGCGACTCGATGGAGTCCATGGATGCCGGTCCGCCATTGATCTCGCCCCTCTCGGGGCCTTCCTCATCCGCCATCGATCAATGACAACAAGTGTAGAGTTTGTGTAATTGTGAAGAGGGAGGAAGGGACTGGGATTGGGGAATGGTGGAGTGGGATTTTGGGAGGGAGGGAGGGTGTTTGGATGGGAGGAAAGTGAAGGAAAATTGTTGTCTGGGTTTTTTTGGTTAAATTCAAAGGAAATTGTTGGGGAATTTTTTGGTTAATTTTGGCTATAAACGTACGAAACTGGAAATGTAAAATTGTGTATCAGTATGTACGGTCCAGGCTTCCCCAATTTAACCGGGCGGTCCAGACCGGTTATGATTTGCACTCCTTTAGCTTTGGGCTACGTCGGGCCGGTCCAAGGAGTGACATCGCTTGGTCGTAAGGGTTGGAGGTTTTGGCGATTTATTTTGGGGTGATGCTATAGCACCACCTATTTTTGCTTCTTACCCACCTTCTTAATTTTCAGTCGTCAGATTGTGTACAATGAAGAAGATTAATGGAAAAAAATTAATAAAAATATATGAGAAGTAAAAATAGATGTATGAATAACACTGCCCCTTATCTTCTTGTAAACTTGTGAACTATGGTGTCATAGCGAGACATGGGCTTAAATATTCCATAACGATATATTTTACACTAAAGGAAGAAGAGAGTTCGACTAAGCTTAATTAGTATCGAATTCGTCATTCACGAGATTCGAACTTAAGGCCTCTCACTTACAAGTAAAGAATAATATTAGCATATTGTAGTAATGAGTGGCTGCTAAAATATTCCCTTGATCTAGAGTGACAAACAAATATAAAAATCATTAAGTAGATTAGATGCAAAGCCCTAATTTATAGAGGTAGCTAACCTAAAAAGATTCACAATGTATTTCGATAATCTCCTCTATCCAACATTTCTTTTGTTTTATAATTTGCTTTCAATCTCGTGACATGAAAATCACTCACCCAAGTCCAACGCATGGCCTGAAAAAGTGGCTTTGCGGGGTTAAGGTGGGGTGGAGGAGAGAATCCAATTTGGGGGTGTGGGGGGATGATCAGGGTATCATGCACGTTCTTTCCCCTTATCGATGTAGGATTCTGTCTCAACAAAAACAATTTTGGGAAAGCCAAGCCAATTTATGGGCAAGCAAGGCAACTATTCTTCAAAGTCATTTATAATTACGAGGCTTGCTTGGTGAGGTTGTGAGAGATTAGAACAACTTACATGACACAAATACACCGTTACTGGATATGTGCCAATAAAGAAAAGATACGTGCACAAAAACTTACACTTCACAAGGTGCCATCGTGAGCGTATCCGTGCCGAGTAAGTCCTAGGCAGAAACGGGTATCTTCCCAACACAATATTCCCCCGTTTGAAATTGACAGATCTAAACCTCCCCCAAATAAAAGGTCCCTTTGCCATTTTACCTTTCAAGCAAGAGGTCTCAGTGGGACTGTCCAGTCACAGATTCCACAATGCATCAGGGGTCGTGGACCAACCCTCCACATCTTACTAGTGTAAAAATAGACCCGCAAAGTTGAATTGCAGCATTCGGAGGGTGCATGCAGATTGTAATCTAAAACAAAAAATTCAAAAATAACAGGGCACATTTGCAACCATTATATTTCATAACCACAACAGACCGGATAATCGTTATACTAGAATAAAGTTATCTAACCCTAAAACTTCTCCTCTATAGTCTGTACAGAGTCGACGAAGTAGCAAAACTTTCCTTTTCAACTCACAGTGGTTGTAGTCTGGTGAATCTCATCATATACGCCACTTTCCTCATTGAATGAGTACCTATATTGGACAGAAACACGTATCAGGTTGCAAGACACATCAATGGCAATTACATGAACCAAGCTAACTAACCCATTGACCTCCTCTCACTTCTATTCCAATCATTCATAAGATTGTGCTTGGTCAAGACAAACTTTCATTAAATCAGATTAAAATCAGAGCCATCTTTTACTATTATTCCCAACATTATCACTAAATCCAGAAAGTCGCCGGTTGCTATGTCATCTCTTGTGTTGCTATAACTTGTAATTGTTAAGCCATGGTCTGACCAATACAACCAACGACATATAATGATATATTCAAATGGAATTTACATCAAATCTCAGACACTGATGGCTCGTTTGGTGTCTAAGATTGGAGTGGATTGGGCAAGTCTCAAACACTAATTGGGCGGTTTAAGAATTTAAGGGACATAAGTGAGAAACTTTTGACACTTAATGTACAGACTATCTAAAGATATGAGAACGAACCGGGACACATCCAAGTAAAAGTAGCAACCAGTACAACGAGTTATCCACCAAAAAAGAACATTGCGCAAAGAACAGAGAGCAATATAAACAAAAAAATTCTAAACACAAGGACAAATTTTATTTACCATAGCCCTGATGAAGCAGAGCAATAGAGTCCTGTAGATGGGTCATAATAATATCCCAAACTGCTGCTATAATAGTACCTAAAAATATTAAACGAACTCAGGTTATTCAAAATACCCACAGAAAAAAAAAAAAATTATTTCAAAAAGATACTGTTCATATAAGACTCCCAGTTCAGATAGCTATTTGCAGTCTTACTGATAAAAAAAAAAAAAAAACTTAACTATTTAGCATCACGGAAAACCAACTGAGCAAAGGATCACTAGTGGGACCAGTGGGCCAATTGTAATCAGAACATTATGTTTTCAATTTCATAAACACAAATAATAGCATCATTATATAAAAAGTAAAATTTGAAATTAAGAAAATAGAATAAGAACTCTTAAATACACAAGTGAACTACAAATAATATATAGTAACCAAAGGATTACTAGAACACGGACTTATGTACGCAATAGTTATGCTACTATCACTAATTAAATCATATATGGTGGAAGTCAAAGGATCCGTCTTTGTAAATTTTGCTAGACCGCACTGCAAAATTCCGTACTTGAAGTCCTCCCCATATATATTGACTTATTGTTTATTCATGTTTCCAAACTCTCCAACAAGAGAACAATTCCCTATATACAAAAGAATAAATGCCATCTAGCAAACCATTTCAATTAGTCCCAATCCATCCCTCACAGAGAGCACTTCTCCACAAGGTCTACTTAGAATAGATGACTACTGTATATCTATTATGTGACAAGTCATTATCAAGAAGTAGGGTATTACATATACACACAGAAGGCAGAACACGTAATATTTGGGAGGGGGAGAGAGAGAGAGAGAGAGAGAGAGAGAGTACCCAGAAGACTCATCAAACACATAATCATTTTGTAAAACTCCATCTGGAAAAATGTAAAATAAAATTATTAAGCAGTTGCTATGCCAATATGTCAATTTTCCAAAATCAACATTACAAAGCTTACTCTCTGAATAATTGTTTAGGTTGTTCAATGACGGTGAGCTGACGCAATAAGAATTAGGGCCAGAAATCACATTACTTCCTTCAGAAGGTTTAGCAATTGCACGTTCATCATCTTCTGCAAACATATCAAATGCATCATCACCATTACTTGAGATTTCTACAGTGGTTGCATCAGAACTGGATGTAGCCACAGAAGTTTCCGGCAGTATTGAAGAGGGTGCTCCAGGATTTGTTACATCAGAGGACTCCCACTCCATGCCGAGAACAGATCTCTCTTGATATGCACTAATAGATGTGGGTTCCCTTCTTGCCCGTGCTAAACTCTCATATCCTTCTGAAAAAGAGAGTTGGAAATTACAATTACGAATAAGCAGCATAGCTAGGCTCTAATCGATTGCTGCTTATTTTAGATTCATTCACATAATGTGTGACTGTTTCATGATTTTATCACTTTGCAGTTGCAGCATGATTTTATCACTTTGCGGTTGCAGCTGTGCAGTCAATTTTGTCCAGTGGACAACTTGGCCCTTGAGTTGTAATGTTTCTTTAATTAACAAAAGCTTAATTCTTATATAAAAAAAAATGAACAAAAAAGGAGAAGAGCAGCAGTTAAAGAATGAACCTACCCAAATGATTGTTCTAGAATGGCTATTCCTCAAGATTGTTCCTTGTGATGCGGCGACCCCCTTTCTTTTCTTTTATTATTACTTTTTAAATTTTTACATTTGTAATTTTTTTTTGGCAAATAGAACTAATGTAAAATAGAATTAAACAATGAATTCAGGGTTTACTGGTTTAAGGTCAATGAATAATCTAAAACACCAGGAAAATCCAATCCAAGGAAATATGTATGCATGACCTAGGTGACAAATCACCATAACATGGAATGTGCACTAGCATGCGCTAAAATTAGACAAAGAAGCAGACAAGGATTCATGGCTATGTTAATGCATGCAAACACCCAACCAAAGTCACAGCAGAAAGACTGCAACTACAACCTCTCCTCATAATCGAATTAAGATTGGAAAAATGGAACATGAATCCAAGATTAAAAGTTTGGATAGAACAAGAAAATTCATAACTAACTTCAGAAAAGTTAAAGGTGAACCATTTACAGACCTGCCTCACGCTCAAAAATCTCCTTCTTCTCATGATAAACATCTGCAAAACAAAACTTTAACAATAAGCACTTGCCAAAGAAGACACTGGTTCCTTACTAAAGGTTTAATGACTAAATTTGAGGAGTGAACAACCACGCATGACAGATTGTCTAATACTTATGCAATTTTTATCTAAACCCAGAAGCAAAATGAACTTAACTGGATTCAGCGTTATCCATCAGGTTCATGGCATCTTCAGTTAACTGGTCAAATACTATCTTCGTTTCAGCTGACATCTTCTCCTTCTTGTTTTTAGGTGTTCCCTTCAATCTTCTCAAAGCGTGTAGAACCTGTTGTAATGGAAATTTTTACTTTAATGATGTTTCCAGTGCTGGGGAATCAAACCAATAACTGTCATTTTAGTGCAAATGAAGTCGCCAAAACCAATGTGAATTATTTATAACAGTCTTTTATGCATTTCAAACAAGCACCCCTACATATTCACATCTCCACTTCTGCATGTGTGCCGTAAAAGTACCATTTCCTAGAACTTGATATTACCGAGTATAAGGCCCCTACATTTCAGGATCAACTTTTCACGCTTTACAATGTGTACAATATATATAACTGAGCACCAGATTAGTAAATAGTAAATAGTAAATTTAGTTCATAGCTATTTGATTTAGATTTATTAATTTGTAGCTACTGATAAAAATTATATTTTTTGTAATTAATGTTAAAATCATAGGATCAACCATATAAAATGTTCTTAGCTTTGGAGTTGGCCCAATGAACTTAGGCCTGGGCCTTCACTGAGGATACTTGTTTTCAAACTAAGCTATAGCTACTCTATCAAAAAGCCCTAAAATTGAACCTTCTCATAAAACAACTGCATTAAACCAGAACTACCCAACACAAATCCTAAATAATTCAAAAATAAACTTTGTAAATCCATCAAGTTTTCCATCATTGGTCTTCAATTTTCTACGACCAAGTATGCATCAGCTTAATGCAACGAAACGATTAGTGAACAACTAGAGCAAGTACTCAACCAAAAGAAAATTGTACTTGTCATAGTGCATCATATTTCATACACCAAATGGATGTGTTTAAACGCCAGGATATGGTGTGAAGATACGCATATGCTCAAGCTACATCAATTTAGTGATTCGGAAATTTCACCTTTGTCAGGTTAATCAATTCCAAAGCTAAATCAGAAATTAGAACAAAATAACTCATAAAATAGCACATAAATCATCAATTCTCAAATAACACAGGCAATGTTAGATTTAGTGAAACACAAACTTAAAATTTTAAATAAAAAGCTTAATTCAAAGAAGAACTAGTAAGATGAACGAGAGTTTACCGTTTCTCCTGGTTCAAGCACATCAGCAATACGTCTTTTTATCTTCCCAATGTCATCAGAAGATAAATCTTGGACATCATCATAGTCTTTTGTTACTACAATGTCTTTTCCGGCATATTTTGTAACAACTTCAACACTATCAAGCCATGCATCCTACAACATTAAGATATAGAAACTGAAAAAATAACTAAGTCTGTCCTTCAGACTAAAAGTCAGCAACCCACAGTGCAAAACCTATTTCATGTCATCGATCCAGGACAATAGCTTTTTGCCAAAAATGATAAACATGTTTACCTTGACTTCATTTTTATTGGCATATTCAACAAAATTTCCATTTGCATCAAAATAACCTTCTTCCCTCTCCTTGTTCAAGTTGAAAGGTTCTATTCGAATCCCATCCTCAACAAAGTCCTCGTAATCCTGCCAAAAGATACCCTAATCAATGGCTATCGTTTCCATTGATTCAATTAACAGAAGTATCCGGCAATCATCTCAAATAACAAAAGTGCTGCCAATTAAGAAAAGAACCATTCCAAATTACAGATGTACTCTATTAATTTAACCAAGAACATGCATGGCACTGCCTCTATTGAGAAGCAACAACATATAAAGTTTCCACAATCAGTTAAATTGCGTGATTCGCATCTTAAGCCACGACACTGAATAGTTGCTACATCAAGCAAAAATGTTAGCTGGAGTAGCCACAACACAAATGAAAATTCGAAACTCATTTGGGATGCAACCAAATGTAGTTGATACATATTAAAACTCGAAAACCCGAAGCAAAAGGTGAGTAACAAAGATATGCGAATTTGTGTAGAGTGTGGTGTGGTGTGTGTGTGTGTGTGTGTGTGTGTGTGTGTAAATATGCACAGAAAGCTGAAAGAAGGCAGCAAATATGAAAGAATCGAAAGGAGTGGACGGAAGAATGGACCTTGTAAGTAACTTCGGCAGCAGAGACATCGCTGAGAACGCCTGCAGCGTCTTCAGTGAAGAGCTCAGTTGTGATTTGGCTGCGGCGCTTGGCACGCTCTTTGGCGGCGGCCCGAGGGTCCGTCGCCGCCGCCGGAGTCGGCCCAATGGCCTCCGCGGGTATGGATTTGAGTGCCGCTTCATCTTCCGGCCTCGCCTTCTTCCCCTTGGGGAACCGAACCCTCTTTTGCCTGCACGCACATTTCCAACCTCACTCAGAAACAACAACACCCGCAACCAAATAAATAAATAATCCCTACGCCTACGCTTACGCCGGAGGTTTGCCGGAGCTGTCGTCTTCGAAGAAGGGACGTTTCAAATTCCGATTGCCTTCCATTGAAATTTGAAACCGAATCCTGCCAGGCCAATCGATCGTACGAGCCAAATTACGGGTACCTGGGTACCCAGAGAGATAGGGAGACGAGGAGTGGGGTAGGGTACTGACTCGGGTCGGGTTTTCCCTACCCGGACTCTGGGCTGGTCGACTGGATTAATACCGCTCCATTTTCAATGGGCCGAGCCTTGCAGCCCACAGATGTTCTCCTCTAAAGTCCTCTACTCTCTCTCTCGCTCTCTCTCTCTCTGAGTGAGTCGAAATGGGAGCGTTAGCTGGTTTCTCAGCCCCTCTGAGCTTTTCATTGGCTTCTCGCCGGAGTAGTAACTCATCATCTCTTCCTTTATTGCCTCTCAGTCGCAGGTACGAGCGGCCAGTTTTTCAATATTTTTTTAACGCGAGCGATATTCTATATTAATTTACGCTAATAACTAGAAGGAGGGGAGGGTTTGACCTCAGGACGCAGTTTAATCTTCAATTTTAATTTTCGTTGTTGTATAGTAATATTTGTTTATTGGTTGTTCATGTTTTGTGGTGGTGGTGCAGAAACTCAACGCCCAAGTCCACAGTCTCTGCCTTGCACAGTCCGTATGGCGATTCTTTAGCAACTGGTAAAAATTAAATTCCATAGAGTGAGAGTACCCAATGGTTCAAAATTCAGTTCAATGCTTGAGCGTAATCCGTAATTTCGGTCATTTTTTTGAATAATTTATGACTATGTTCATGTATTTGGCTATTTATTTAGAGTTTATATTCAGTTTTGCAGACTAGTTTAAATTCTAAACGTATTGCTCTGTCCAGGGTTATCTAGCAGAACTTGTGGGTCACCTCTAAAGCTTGACGGCAACGATTTTGGTGATACTAGTACAAGGTCTATAACTCTCTGCCCTTTTGCATAACTGATAGAATTTGTTTTCGATTCTATTTCAAGCATGTTTTCGGACTATATTTGTATTGTTTTTCACATGATATTGTTTTTGTGACCCGGTAATTTTATCTTGGAAAATGATTTTCACAAACCCCATTTCAGTCCGAAAATAATCCTGTCAATCTCTGTCCTACTTAAGGCTGTTGAATTCTACTCCCCTAATATGTTGCATGATGTTTTTTATTATGTTTAGATGGGATTTTAAGTCTATGAATTTTTTTAGTTATGGTGCAATAGAAGCCAAAAAAGGGAATCCACCCATACTCCCAGCTGTGATGACCCCAGGTGGACCATTAGATCTCTCGTCTGTATTATTCAGGAACCGTATAATCTTCATTGGGCAGCCAGTCACTTCAGCGGTGGCTCAACGAGTCATATCCCAGCTTGTGACTTTGGCTACTATTGATGAGAATTCAGATATACTGGTGAGCTTACACTTTCTCCACTCCTCTTCTACACCCCTCATTCAATTGATTCACCATAGCTAAAGTTTTAATATGTCAAAGTCGGTTTCTTTCAGAGATTCTGACTTTGTCCTGTATCATTTCAGGTGTATTTGAACTGCCCTGGTGGGAGTACATACTCTGTTTTGGCAATTTATGACTGCATGTCTTGGGTAATGTCATGAAGCTTCGTTATCTTTCGGGGTTTTTTTGTTCCAATTTTATCACATTTCTTTGCCTGTGGATTAAAAAAAAAACAATTTTATTGCAACAGAGACAATAAAACAACATAGGAAAAGGAGTGTTCAAGTACAATAGTAAACAAAATAACAGAAATGCAAGAGGGAATCAAACCCCTCCTAAATTGCAAAAACATCTTCCAGGACTTTCTAGGACTTATGCAATGAGCAAGTTAATAGCCACAGTTAATGGATTTTGAATATCAAGAAATTTAAAACACCCAAGTCCATATAATATAAATTCATTGTTCATGGATGTTGAATATTTCCTCACTTGGTTACAAAATGATGTTGCTGCAATCAGACTGGTTATGTTCTTCTGTATTGTATTGATAACCTAGCATATTGGGACATTTAATCTGGTATTGGATCGAGCTACCATTATATTTTCATCACATTTAATGATGATACTACCATAATATAATGGTAGTTCAGTCCAATAATTCATAATTAAAAGTTCTGAATCTTCTGTGGTTTCGAAACCATGGAGAAAATTATAACCATAGAGTGCACCAAAGAAGAAATTGTTTTATTTATGAATTAAGTTCTGTTTGCATTAAATGATTTTTTTATATTATCAGATCAAACCTAAGGTAGGAACGGTATGTTTTGGAGTAGCGGCAAGCCAAGGAGCACTTCTTCTTGCTGGGGGAGAAAAGGGAATGCGCTATGCAATGCCAAATGCACGGATCATGATACACCAACCACAGAGTGGATGTGGGGTATGAATCAACTTTTTTTTGGTATAGCTTGCCTATTTTGTTATAAGAATATGCTTATAATAGGGTAGGATGATGTGAATTAATGGGCTATATAATAAGAAGGAAAAGTGCATTGTATTTTGATGGTGTATTATCCTAGTTGACACTTAAGTCTTTCCTACCTTGTGCTGTTATCAGTTTTGGTTATGGAGAAGACCTAACTTCTTTTTGTACCATATGTTAATTAATTCTGCATTGTCATTAAGATTATAAAATTCAAAGTTTGGTAATGAATAATGATATAGAAATCTCAAAGTGCAGTTACATTAGAGGGATTTGCAAATCCCAACTTGGAAGTTGTCATTTACAAAATCCCTCATATATGCCTTTGCAATGCTCGTGTACCTTTTTTCTAATCCCTCCTATTTAACATTTTATGGTCCATTCCTTACTAACTTCTCAATCCCTTGGAACTTGGAAATTTCTGACCTAAATACAGCCTAAATGTTCTTTTCAATCCTTGCATTTGCATCGCAACACTAATTTAGCAAGGACATTCTAGTCACTTGAACTTGGTTATTCTAACCTGGCATTTTGGTATGTTGGATTCAAGGATTCTAGATTACTTGTAAACCATTTTTTTACATTTTCATCATTCCAAAATGCATGCATTTAAGAATATAGAAATTGGAATGGCTATGGTAGGTTGGATTCTAGGATTGTAGATTGCATTTCCACCGTTTCACTAATTTTTAGTATGGACATGCTAGAAAATGGAACTTGATTACATTTCTTTTCATTTTATACTGATCAGGAAAAAAAAAAAAAACCGATTATATATTTGTGTTAAATTGAAGTTCAAGTAAAATGTTTTCATATTAACAGATCCCTTAGAATCGTGTATGCAATGTGGCCTAGGTCTCCATTTTTCTTATGTTCAATTCTGATTGATATTATTGACCATGAAGCATGTTATTTCTTAGTCCTAAAACTAATGCCTTTGAAAATTCTTAAATGTTCTTTTTTATCCTTACATTTGCTTGAGATGATAAAAATTTTGGTGGCTTCAGTAGGCCCTTAGATGATGATGGAAACACTGAATTCTGTATCCTCTTATTATTGGTTCTACCAAGCGTTTGGTTACGTATGATGGTTCAGTACTAAAGGTGTGTTGTGAGTTTGACCAAATTGTACCCTCAAAACGTAGATGTATTTTTGAAAGTGTGAAGGTCTCCAACAAAAAAATAAATACAAGTGTGAAGAAGGAATACTACCGTGAGAACATAACTTCTTGTTTTAGTTTCTATATTCAATCTGTTTAAATACCTCTATATTATGTTACGTTCTTGAACCAGCAAAGGTCTCATAACTGCATGAATTTTTTGTCAATAATCTCATATCCAATTTGTGACTTAATCTAGTTTTTATAGCCGTTTTTGTTTCTTGCCCTATTTTCTTCTGTAATCATAACTGCATGAATTTTAATAGTAATATGCTAGTTCATGTATTTATGGTTGATTTTTCCATGTATTTTGAAACAAATTGAAAGTATGAGACATGAACACTGTTAGTTTCAAATTCTTAGATTATTTGTGAATTATTTTCCGTAAATTAAAATAATTTCATATATACTAATTACTACACGATCCGTTTTGTTTTAAATCCGTGGATTGATTTTTGCATTATCTTATTGTAGGGCCACGTGGAAGATGTGAGGCGGCAAGTGAATGAAGCAGTTCAAACTCGCCATGTCAGTCTCTTCTCCCTTAGTTGTATTCTTGAAAATCTTTCTGGATATATGTTAATGTTGCAGCCTAATTGATTTCAATCAAACTGAGCAGAATAATCAATTCTGTTATATAATTTTTCTAATCAAGTCAAAGTTGAAATCTTATATACATTTGCAAATTGAAGGTGTGTGCTGAGACCTGCTGCTGCACAGGGCTACTAGGGAAACTAGAATTAGATTCAACCCTATTCGGGACTGGGTTGTTGCAAATAACTTAATTGCATAAGTCGCAACTTCATTTATTGACATACCAACCTTAGGATCCAAGGAAATCTCGTTTTGTTGTGCTATTTCCTAAAATTTTAATATTTTATAGTATTACAATTGCATGCGGGTGTTGAGAGCTGTTGCTTCACAGTGCTACTTGGACAACTTAAATTTAGGTTCAGCCCTGTTCGAAGATTCACTGTGCCATTAGTTTAGTCTTCATTTATTGACAGACAAACCTTGGTCATCAAGGGCCATTAATGGTAGATAGTAAATCCGTGATCACCTTTTTGAATATGCATGGATCTATTGTCAGCAAAAGCACGTACAATAAAGAGCGTCTCTAAGAACACTTACTGCTCCAAAAACTCAAAAGCATTCTCCAAACCTTTGAGAAAATACGTACTACTCATACCCTGCATTGGCAGTATCCTCATCCACTGGACAGCTCCTTTTAATGTTTCAAAGAATATGCATCTGTGATTATTGCTTTTCGAGTTCCAGGAAATTGAGATTTAGGGTTCTATCAATACTGTGCTCAACATGTACCCATTACAGCTATTTGTTCGTTTTATTCATGAAATTTAGACTTCCGTCTGCTCCATAGTAATTCTTGTAATTTGGTCTTGTGTTGTGACTCATGATAAATTTGATGCAGAAAGTCGACAAAATGTATGTTGCATTTACCGGACAATCTCTAGAGAAAGTACAACAGTACACAGAGAGGGATCGTTTCTTATCTGTTTCAGAGGTAACGTTGCTAACTCGTCTCTCAAATTTCTTGTTCTGTGTATCGAGTGCATAATTTATGACCCGTATAGAGTTACAGAAGTACCATAAGCGTCTTTTAACCAAATTACCTTTTCAATTTCCCGCATCTAGTATACTCTTGTACTACTTACCTATATCGAGCTTCAACTATTATTAACCTCCCTTTTATTTATTGTGTTTTAATTTGCAGGCTATGGAATTTGGGCTTATCGACGGCGTGTTGGAAACCGAGTATTGATTCCAAATTTGTACCATATGTTTTGAGTTAAAATTTCAATGCTTCTTGTTAAATTGCTCATGTGAGCTGCTGCTGCTGCATTTGCAAAACGATCAGTAATCGGTTATCCAATTGATTTGGTTCCAATTCTTCTTCACTTCACTTGAGATGTTTGGAGATCACCCCTCTATTTCCTACTCCCCCCCTTGTATATATTCTGTTCACAGATAAGAGAGAATCTGTATAAAGAGACGGCAGGAATTGCGAATTGGTAAAATGTCGATTCGGTTAATAACGTTATGAATTCCTGCGAATTGGTAAAATGTCGATTCAGTTAATAACGTTAAGAAAGTTGAGGTTTTATCATAAAATCAATTGGTAATGTGGAGAGTGGCCCAAATTACTTATAGGCACATACAAGGTACATTCTTTTCCCGATAAGGGTTTATACTCTTAATATCGCAACATAATGGATGTTTCCTGCTCGCTTAAAAACTTGGCAAGTCATTCGTACAAACGCATAGAAGGTTTTTAACATGCAAATATACTGTATAAAAGGAAAAATTGAAGAAATTAAAGATATATCTTTAATATCGCAATATAATGGACGTCTCCTGCGTGCTTCAAGACTTCATTTCCTTTCGTGATAGGGGATTTATACTCTCAACCCGCTTTCTCACACGTGGCCAATTTTCAACTAAGAGTTGAACAACACAAATTGAGTGAGATGGAGCTTTACATATGAAAGTTGAGGTTCCACATACTCAAAACCAGTTGGCAATATAGTCAATAGCCAAACTCATTAAAAGCGCATACAAAATTCATTTTTTCTCGATGCGGGATTTATACTCTCAACCCAACTAATTGTGTATCATCTAAAATGCTAAGAGAACTCTGTGTGCGCACGTGTCTATATATATATATATATATATAGAGAGAGAGAGAGAGAGAGAGAGAGACCCCAACCAGGGCCAAGGCATTTTAAATTCCTTGCAATAAGTTTGAACAAAACACACAATTTCTTCTCCGTTACGAGAACAAAAATGGCTACGCTTGTAGTACCGCAACCGGTCCCTTCGGAGGCTGAAGACTGTGAGAAGCTTCATAAATCTATGCAAGGTCTCTCTCTCTCTCTCTCTCTCTCTCTCTCTCACACACACACACACATTGGCCTTTGAATGTGATCCTACAAACATGTTCTACATGGAAGGATCCAAAGCATTCCAACAAAAATTGATCGTCGACAAATACCGTGGTTAATTGTGTTGGATCTGTTTTCTGTCGATTTTCTATGTTAATTATACGTCCAAAGTTAGATTTTGTTTTGATCTATGTTATTTCTTCTTTTATTTAGATCCAAGTAATTTACTTCTCTTTTTATTTTATTTTTTTCTTCTGTTAATTATACTTCAGCGTTGATTGGGAATACGATAACTTTCAATGAATATACAAATTAACTACATAATTGAGTCTTGGCAAAGGACATTCTGTATTAAATAGGGAGCATCATCAAACTAAATTATAGATCGAGATTAGTGAACATCTAATTTAAAATTTCGATTTATATCTCTTAACTACTTATGAAAACATAGTTGAGCAAACGAGCATGAGTAGTTAGCGTTGTAATAAGTTACCAATTGTCTAGCGCTTGAGCACTCCTATATCTATATATATATATATATATATATATATATATATATATATATATACACATCTCGTCTTCAATACATTGTGGATCGATATGCTCGTCAATAAAACTGGCAAAAAGTGCAGTACATTATTAATTTTAAAAGAAATACTTTCTGATATATATCCATGCTGGTGCAGGATGGGGAACAGATGAGAATACTATTATAAACATATTGACTCATAGGAATGGTAAGCAACGTTGTTTGATTCAACAAACTTATGCTGAGAAATATGGAGTGGAGTTATCCAAAGCTCTAGAAGACGAACTTTCTGGGGACTTTCTGGTGATGACTTGCTAGCCCTCTATGCTTTCTCTCGTTCAATTAATGGGCTTAATCAGTCATTAACTTTCTAATCAAGTAGTTGTGTGGCTATATATGCAGAGGGCAATGCTTCTGTGGACACCGCATCCTGCTGAACGTGATGCATGGCTAGCTAATGAAGCGCTAATCTTGAAGGATAACTCCGGCCATCGTCATTATGTAATAATGGAAATCGCTTGTACAAGAACATCCCGAGGTCTTTTCGAGGTGAGAGAAGATTACCATGCCCGCTACAAGAGATCTCTCGAAGGAGATGTTGCTTTTCACACAACTGGAGACTTCCGCAAGGTAATTGTGTGCTTACATGTAAAAGGTAACACCAACCTACGATTGCTAGCAGTTTGACAACATAAGACGATAATTCTACACATTATACTGCGCGTTATTGCAGAATTATACTAATTTTTACTGTTTTTCCCTGGTGGGCAGCTGTTGGTACCTCTTGTGAGTGCTTACAGGTACGAGGGAGCTGAGGTAGATATGACATTGGTAAACCCAGAGGCTACCATACTTCATGAGAAAATCTCTGAGAAGGCTTATAATCATGAGGAGATCATCAGAATTCTAACTACAAGGAGCAAGGCACAACTGAATGCAACACTCCAACACTATAACGACCAATTTGGCCATCCTATTAACAAGGTACATACGTGTGGGTACATATATTGATGGCGGATCTATGACACCGCAAATTTAAAACCGGTTTTGACACAACTATTCAATGAATGAGTGAGAATAAAAAGCTATAACTTTTTCGAACTGAAATAGTTAGATGATAATTTATAATTCACTTTATCGTTCTACTTTAGTTTTTCACATTCTCCTTAATTAGCAAGATTTTTCATATGTATTACCCTAGCTATTTCTATAAGCACTATATTTTTCCTTTCTACTACACCATTTTTCTGTGTTTGAATCGTGATGGGAGCAAAGAACTCATGTTAGACTCCATGATTCTCAGAAAAGTCTTAAAATTCTGAGTTTTCGAACTCAGGTCAATGATCAGATCAAATTCTACCAAGACTGTTATGACTAGATACTTGTTCATTGATCAATCTTGTGCAAATAACTTTAAACTGATCAAATGTATCATTCTTTTCCCTAAGAAAAACTACCCATGTAACCCAGAGAAGTCATTTACCGTGACGCAAACATACTTCTCTACTTCGTTATAGGTTATTGTTATATGAATTTGGTTAGGCATTTGTATGATAATCATTGTGTGGGATACTTGGGACCTGGCGAATAGACGGTTTCGATCTTCAGACTTTGCAATCCCTGATATAATTGAGTATATGCTTAATCAATTAATTGCATGCATGTTTGGTTATTACTAGCAGTATTTGACTGTTAATTAGTCATTGGATTAAAATTAGAGGATCGATTAGATATTAATATGGGCTAGCTGCATATATACGCATCCATGCAGGACCTGAAGAAAAACCCAAAGGATGAATACCTTAGGTTATTACGAGCCAGCATAAAATGCTTGACGTGTTCTGAAAAGTACTTTGAGAAGGCTCTGCGACTGTCAATGAAAGGCCTTGGAACCACGGAGGAGATTCTGACGAGAGTTATAGTGACTCGAGCAGAGGTCGACATGAAGAAGATAATGGAACAGTACCAGCTCAAGAATGGTGTCTCTTTGGCTCAGGATATTAAGGGTGATACTTCTGGTGACTATTTGGCCACCTTGCTTTCCTTGATTGATCATCATGCATGATACAGATGCCAACCATTGACCGCTTAACTTGCATGCATACTTGAATTCTGCTTGTCGTGATCATATTGCAATATATATATATATATATATATATATATATATATATATATATATCAATGCAGTTTACCTAGTATTGATTAAAAAATAAATTATAATTATTATTTATTAATAAATGGTGTAATAATTTTGCAGAGTAGTAGTAGTCTGTGTTCGTACATGCACATGAATCAGTTTTCAAAACGCAAACATTGTTACTTTTCTATTAATATTCTTCTTCTTTCTATTCTGAATGAAGCTAATAATAATTGTGGAAACCGATTTCCATCATCCAAGGTGAAAAACAAATTTTTTACGAACTTAAACATGCAAACAACCTTCCTTCGAGATCTTTAATGTTAGGGTTGATGTACTTGTTTTTAAAATAAATAATTATACCTCTAGGAGCACTACCTTGATTTTCATCACTTTTGTTCACCCTGAGTGAGGGTCTTCTTCCTTTGTTTGTATGCTCCATCACCACCTTTGTAGATTTTCAATTGCACCAAACCCGTCGATGGATTCGGTTGCCTGCGTACTTCGTTTTCAACGTGGATCAAACGCCATAGTTCACCTCTAGAACTAAGGTGAGGGTGGAGAATGAGTAAGAGTGTAAGCTAGGACACACTCAAGGGAAGGGAACAGCTATAATGTTGGTGATGGTGTTTGTGTTTTCTTCTAATTTTCTCTCTACTTGGGTCCTAGAGAGAAAACTCGCTCTCTTTTCTTTCTCACTTAGTCCATAAGGTCTAAGAGAAGAGTGCTTCATAGATCCAGTGATTGTGTCGTTTTGGTGATATATCCGATATTTTAACAGATTGTGTCGTGTCAAAGTTGCTAAAATGAACAGGTAATATCATCTGACCTGAACTCGACCTATTAAACTTAACGGGTAATATGACCTTACTCATTACCTGTTAAAGAAAATAAATTTTACTTCAGTAATCAAATGAAAACTTCATACTAAATTATTATCTACGTACCCCACATATTGTCACATAAATATACTTCAAAACATGAAAACACATTTGTATTTCAAGTACATACCCCAAAATAAGAGCCTCATGAAAAAATATTAGTACACTAGCTACTACAAAATATTAAATGTACAAGGATATGCAAATTTCAAATAAGGGGAGTTTTTTTAGAGTATTCATCAAATATAGCCAAAAATTAACTTTTAATTTCAAAAATGTCACTTTTTATAAAAACTTTCAAATATATCCAAAATTTCACTTAAATAGACATAAATACCCTCAAATTGAACAATTAAATAAATTAAAGACTTTTTAACTACTATCGCCTCAAGCTCCGATCCAACTGCACCTTCGCTTCTACACTCCACCACCACAATCCTATCCCCTTCGACCCCCTCATCACCAACATTGAACGCCGTCGCGGTTACCGCAAGTGGGAGCAGCAGAATTCCAATCATGCATTCAATGCCTTTTTTCTTACTAATATCATTTTTAGTTTTAATATATAAAAATAGTTTTTAAAGTTAATCCACATGTCGTTATATGATTGTATTTGTGAGACCCACGTGACGCCACATCATCACACTAACAGAGCAATTGACAGATTTTTCACAAAATAACTAAAATGGTCATGATGGACAAATTCAAAGAAAGAATAAAATAATTCACGATAGACAAATTCAATAACACTATTATTGATTATCATTAATTGTTAATGACCTGATTAAGGAGTTATTTCAATGTCACAAATCATTTTGGCTAAAAACCTTTAATTTATTTGATTGTTAAATTTGAGGGTATTTGTGTTTATTTAGGTGAAATTTTGGATATATTTGAAATTTTTTATAAAAAAATGATATTTTTAAAATTAAAGGTTAATTTTTTACTATATTTGAGATGGCAATGGGAAAGAGAGAGTGAGCGTCGAGAGTCGAGACAGAGAGAATACAAACAGAGTCGGTACTGGGAGTCTGGACTCTGGCTGAGAGAGTTATGATACAGAGTGAGAGGTATCAAAAAATCCAACGGTAAGGATTTAATCTCACTTATATGAGATTCATTCTATAGAAAAATAATAAAAATGGTTTGAAAACTTTGAGTTTTAATGATAAAGATAAAATAAAGGGTAAAGTGAATAGTACCAGGATTGACTTTTTAATGTAAAAATGTGGTTTTTCGTTAAAGTTCTCTTAATTTTATGGCAATTGTAGTAAAGGTCTTTTAGCAGTTGAAAATTACCAAATTAACCTTTTTCTTCACGACTTGAAATGGGTTACCCACGGGTAGCCTTGTTCAAAACCCGCTATTTACGGGTGACCCGATTAGTTTACATGTTAATCCAAAATCAATTGTTTTTGTATCATTTCGCGTCGGGTTAATGACTCATCAAAAGGTTTCCTAGTATCTCAGCCTCTCTTTTAAGATGATTGGAAGACATCTTTTAATGTGAGTCTTGCCAGCGAAGAAAAATTACAACTTCCACAAGAAAGTTGAAACTCTTCTAAGCTTCCCCCATCCATGTGGTCTTCTTATGGATAGAGTGTTGAGTTTTCACCCATGCGTTCCAGATTTGAAATTACAACTTCTTATGGATAGGGTGGACTGACATGATGAAACCAATAGTTGGTCATTTTTGTAAATTTGTTTGACTTTGGTAGCATTCAACTATTTCTTAATACAGTTTGACCTAAACAACTAAGAAACAGTTATCAGTGCCACCAAAGTTCAACTTATTTATAAAAATGTCATCGCCTTTTTTTTATTTTTTTTGTTCTTACTATTAATAAAAGTTGTTTTTGGCTTAAAATAAAGTTTGAGGGTCTATTCATTAGTTTTCGGATTTAACTTGGCTCCTCATGAGGAGTTCCCTCTCAATTAACTATGTGACTGATTTAAATAACTTCATGCTTATGATCAAAACCGTTTATAATATAATTCACTTTGTAAAAATCATCTCTAGAAAAAATCAATAAAATATGAGATCGTTTAGTCATCAAACTGCATAAAACAAATGAACAGATTCAATAAAAGAATTACGAACCGTCAATCTATATGTTACAATTGATTGACTAAACAACCTTAATTTGTATTGATTTCTTTGTCGAGATGGTATTTACGAAATAATAAATAATATAAACGATTCTAATTATAAACACAAAATTTTGAGAATCTGCCATTGAAATGAATAAAGGAGGTGGCACTCCTCATTTTGAGGAGCCAAGCCTATCTCTTGCTTTTCTATAAATTCTAGGCATATTTATTGGTTTGGCCTGAAACTAGATTTGTCTCCATTGCCTCATGAATTCCCAAAATCGAACCATTACACCCCATTTTCGTCAATGTCGTCTCATGGACGTTAAAATGAAAGGGCAGTATGGACATTTAACAGGAAAATCAATAAATAAGCCAAAATTTTATGGCTGGACAAATTTGACGGTTCCACATTCATGAAATCAACTTGTATAACTAGTAAGTTAACTTGCAAAAAGCTAAACTGAACAAAATGAACCTACCATTACACCTTACTAATTTTCACAGATTTGCCAATAATTTGTGATCACGACAACACTTGAGAGAGTGTGGAGAGAAACTGATTCAATGACCATCTACTTGTCAACCATCTGTCCCAGAATTGGAGCAGCAAATATCCAAATGCTCGATTTCACCCAAATTTTCCAGCTTCGATCTTTTTCTTAATTGCTCTTTGACCATGATATATAAATGAATCTATAAGTCCTGCAATGGTAAATATACCTAGAACAAAGTCGAGATTTTTATCACTCGTTAGAAGTCTTCCAAGTAAAAACATAACCACAAAAAGATTGCACAGTACGGCCATTACATACATGCATATATTCTGAACTTTGAACCAAATGGTTATGCTACGTGCATAATGGTTTTGAGGACTTTGTCAAATACTGTGTTAATTTCTTCGACCTACATCAATGCATGCCAGAATGGACTAGATTACCTCCAATTATGGCACAAATATGAGTCATGAAGTGTAAAAACGGAACATGTTCTTCTTTGAATGTGACCTGCAACAATGATAAAATATAAGGATGGTTTGCTATACAAGGCAGCTCATACTAGTGTTCATCTCAATAACATGATTATGTGCTACTTTTTAAACTGAAGTTATAAACCTGACAATTTGTGATATTTTTCACAGTATATAAACTCTTCTTCTTTGTTCAGATCTAGGTGAGGTTTATTTTTCAGAGGCTAAAAGAATATGCTCGATGTAAACTTACACTAGAAACCAGAAGTTCCACCACCCAACTTATTCGGGGGAGAATAGTTCAAATACATTAGAAATGGTGCATACGTAGGGTTCCACACCTCTAACAATACTACAGGTTTTTGAGTGTGGCATGACAACCATTTTTATATTGCTTCATCACTTATTCTGAGTCCCGTCGATGTGCTCGCATCTCAATTTCCAGTCCCAGTCTTATCCTTAACAAGGAAAAGAAAAACCAACGGATATATTTTCAGTTAAGAAAATAAATTAATAATAAGATGAAGGGAAGAGCATTCTCAGGATAAAAAGTATACTTTCTGCAGGGGTTCATCAGTCAGCCCATAATTTTTTCCCCATATTCGTAGATTCTCCATCTATTAAGTTAGCCCCAGGTATGAGCTTCACCTCTTCACTTACGTCACAATCTCTATTAATGGTAATGGTTGTTGGCCTAATAGTTGTGATTCTCATTAAAGAGTTATGAGGAGTTTTATAGATAAGATACCCCCTCAAACAAACTAGATACAATTTCCTTGTTGCTCTCACCCTCCATGTCTCTATATATTACTATCATCAATATTCCTCTCCTACTAATTTTGCATTCTACTCCATGGGCAATTGATCAAGACTTGGATTTTCATTTGTCATTGACGTGCACAACTAACCAGAAATTCTGTTGCATCTTAAAGTTGTATGCACTGCCATAACTTGCACATACAGAGGCGCCTATGGCTTTAGGACATATACATCACTTTAATTTTGGTTCACGGCTAGAATCCCTATATCCTTTTGTCTATTAATTTGTTGAGCAAATAGATAATACTCCATTATATTTAACTCCTTCACATTTATTAACCCATTCAATATCGCCTCTCCCGTTCTAAAACAATGAAAATCATCATCTCTCAATAAATAAAGGTGAAAGGAGTAACTCGCACATGAGGCTCACATGAAGCCTTTTGGACGAAGAATCGATCAAAATTTTCAAATTTTGGGCTAAATTTCTAACAGGCTTCACCGCAAGGGTTTAATGTCAAATGTTTTACCACATGAGCCATCTTCAGACCACAAGGAAGGACTATAAACTTTGACCTAAGCTAATAGGGGTGACAAGACAAAGTTAACCTCAACATGAGGCTCACGTGCATCCTTTAGACGAAGAATTGAGAAAAATTTCAAATTTTGGGCTAAATTATTGACGGGCTTCATCACAAGGGGTTTAAATGCCAAATTCTGTACCCCATAAGCTATTTTGAGACTAGACTATAATCACAGGGATGACTTATACAATTTGGCCTTTTTGTTTTCATGGTTAACCCTTCTTGCTTCCACAAACATAGAAGGTTTTCACCATGGAAATTTAAATTTTTATCTGACTGCGGAAGAGATTATTTTATTATTTTATGTAATTACCGGAGAAGGAAAGCGCAAAAACGCAAAATCTGACCGAGAAAAATGGGCACACCAGTATAATTATCAACACTAATCCGATTTAGAATAATACACTAGATGTGGACCAAGAAACACACCTTAATTGGAGAAAGATCATAAAAGAAGAAAACTCCTGGAAGCATGTGAGAGTATCCCAGCTCCAAACTCTTATAATGCTCTGTCACAGAGTACTATACCATACAAATTCAACTACATATCAGGGCATGATTTGTCATCGGACCAAAGAGATTCAACAAGCTTAAAAGTACCTGATTTGAGAAAATTGTACGGCCTCTAATATTGGTGTATATCGTAGGGACCACCTGAAAAGTAGAAACTAAGTGTCTAAATATCCTCGCTGATTGATAACTACTTTTAAAGAAACAGTACAAAAGTGATTCCATAAAAGATTTAGTCCGAGAAAGTCATGAAATTCCAGTAGCCATTCATAACAGTTCCTGGTAAGAATAACCATGCAGCAAAAGCCGAATTAATTTACCGATAATACCAACCTTGATGAAATACTGGTACATACCACTTGGTCTTTCCTGCATCCATTGTACACTGAATATGCAGTAAGAATATAACATAAAAGATTCGACTTGCAACAATATTTCACTAATGAAGAGCACCCATTCCATAAAAACCAATCAAGTCTTGCAAAAGTACTTCCCACTGCAATATATGGTATTATAGCAATACCATATGATTTGTATTTGACAACAAATTAACAATATCTATTAAACTACATCTTAAAAGAAATTCCATATTTTGAAGTTGATGCCAATGAGATTTCTTCAATTTATAAATAGCTAGGGACGGGAAGAAAGAAACAATTACCCATCAAGGGGATTTTGCACGCCAGGAAAGTAGTCACCGAAAGCTAATCTGTTTATCTTGTGACTTATCTGTATCATGAAAAATGAATCTGAAATCGTTGGCACATGCTTTTTACTTGAAAACAACAAAGAAAATTAAAACCATAGAAAAATGGCGAAACTTATATTATTTTCTTTGCTACCAAAGGAAATAAAATGTTCCTTACATTGTAACTATCTGTCTGGAAAGCCAGCAAATCATGCAAATGAACATTAGACTGGTGAAAACTTTTTCCAGGTATAAAATGAAAATTTCCAGCCACTTTGTTAACTTCAAGGGATCCTTCAATATTACATCCTTCACCATCTTCATCTTTGACCTTTTGAATAAAACCTTCCCGTTCGCACTGCAAACAGAAAGGACATTGAAGATTAATATCAACATAATGCCACAGAAACATCAATAACTGTCCAAATTTGGGAGTAAAGATGTTCAACAAATGGCTGTCAAGACCAGCCCTATAGTTCTTCATGTCCTGCTCAGGCCAGCTTTTAACAATGACTTACACCTAAAACCTAGCCCCACCTGCAGCCCGGTTCAATCCGGGCCATGCTGGCCCTTAAATGAGCCCGCCTGTTTACCTGTTAACTTAAAGTATTGATGTTAAAACAATATTTAGTCTTAATGAGAGATAAAGTCTCTCATTTCTCATCCATCTTAAACATGTTAAATAAATTTTTGGTGGATGTCAGTACAGACTACAGATATCGAAGTTAATTCAATGAATACGTGCAGTGCGGGTGTAAGACTCATTGTATTCGGTAACTGACATAGTCAGTTAAGAAATAGGTTGGAAGCACAGCTTGAAGCAAAATCAACATGCCACCTCTAGAGAGAAAAACTAACTTCCAACTTTGTGACCTTTTCTCAAACTTTTTTCCATGGATCCCACACCCACACCCACCCAACCCACCCCTCCACCGACAAAGTGAGTCCCAACTGCTTTATCAGCCAAGAGCTGACACCACACCCCCAGGAAGTAACCCACCTCTCCACCTTACTCTGATCAACAATGGGCACTTGGCTTTGTTCACCTCTAAGCCCGACTTCCCACAAAAGCAGTCCACAACCGACAAGAGATTCTCCCAGACCATACCCTTTGCAGCTAGAAAAAAGACCATGATGTCCGCAAACTATCCCCTCAATCACTTGAGACTCCAACTCTTTTCAGTAATCTACTCATAACATCTGCCATAAGGTTGAACAACAAAGGGGACAAAAGGTCCCTCTTGAGGTAAATTTTGAATCTAAACAACTAAAATTCTTAGTGTTACAGACCAAAGCACTTAAAATCACAAGGCATATTTGAGTTATAATACTGATACAAAATGATATACACTAGGATATTTTAATTTACTTCCCTATATTATCTAGTTTCCTGTTTGTAATAGAATTAATATTACTTTCCTATTTCTAGTAGATTTCGGATTCTTTCCCGTCTGCTTTAGTATTTGGTTAGTACAAATATGTGCTTTCTAATTGTATTTAGACAGACTTGAAAGATTGATTAATCATATTTTCACCCTACGTATCTTCTTTTCTCTTAGTCTTTCTTCTAACTCGGTCTTCCTCTAGATTTCTGTTCTAATCCTCTGTCTTCTCTTGGATTCTTCTCAGCCTTTCTATTTATTTCTATCCTCTAGTTCTAAATTCTAAATTCTGGTTAATTGTTCTACATCAATGGCATTCAATTTTTGGAACACAAATCACACAAAGAAAAATCAGAAGTTTCTATGACCTAACCTGGTCTATCAACTCTGCATTCGTCAGTGCCCAACCTTTTTTCCTATATGCCTCACGAACTTCATCGCATGAGTTGCAACAATCATCATCAGACTGCATAAGAAAGAAAAAGGAAGAGATTACGGGACAATGGAAGAATATACTTTGCTCGTTGATACATGCTTCAAGATTACTAATTCTCTAATCAGTTTAACTAAAACAGACCTACAAAAATATGAAATAACAAAACAAGAATATTTGGCCATGTTAATGAATCAAGCATGTAGGAAATTTATGAATAAGGCAATAATTTGCATTAATGTACATGTGTTAAGGAAGTAAAGTTGAACAAAACCAACTTGTTTAACAGATTTGGTAAGCCATGCCACCTTTCTGAATCTACATCCTCTACACTAAAAAATAAATTTACCGGTCATGCTAACTGCTAAGGACTCGTACACATATGCACTCTTCCAACATGGCATTATTAAAATGAATTTTCAGTTTGCAATATAGAATCTTTATAACTTGCATTATGATTAGGTTTCATAATGGAGATTTTGCAGAAATTGAGCTTTTCAACTGTTCCTTAGGAATACATTGCCCCCTGACAGCTTTTGCAGTATTGGAACTGGATCCCAAGGTTAATGGAATTTACTAGAAAAAAAATATTTAGAAGGAGAGAACAAGTAGGAAACACTAGGTGTTCTATGAAACCACTAATCACACACACAAGAAGCCTGTTCGGCACTCAAAGAGTTCTCTCTGGTTTTGTTTTTGCACTTCTTTCTGGGCATCTGTACCTGCAGAGTCTAGAGAGCTTAAAAATTGGTTGCAGATCATCCGCGACCTAATATGGTGTCCCTAGCATTATTGTTCAAAATAAAAAAGAACTATTATTAACACAAGGAATGGAAGAAAATCATTTATACCGTTTCTGCTCCAAAGCACGATCCACAATATTTTTCATTATGTTCAAGCCTTCCACCATGCCTTTGCAAGGGTTTCTCAATCTGCATTAGAGAATGAAAATAAATAAATAAAAGGAACAGCGAATCCCAATCAAACAAGGAATAAGAAACAGAATATTCTGTTTCGTATCCTTATTTGCTTCCCACCCAAAAAAATTAACAAGGATTGCAACATAAAATAGTATGTATTATCTACTTTTATTTCTTCCATTTATGAAGGGGTGATCAGGTTCTTTTCCTCTTCTTTCGTTTTCACTGATGGGTCTTGTTGCTATGGGTCTGCTTTTAGCTCTCTTTTAATAGGTGTTTTCTTGTGCACTAATCATGCAACAAAGGTGAACAAACTTGCAAAAGCAGTACCTTTTAAATGAAGTTTACCAACAAAATGGGACATGAGGCACCGCCACTAGAATATTTTTCTTTACAACATATTCCATGTCAGCAGTACATAAGAGCGCCAGATGCATTACTAATTCAAATCTGTAGTTCACATGCTTTGTCAAATTCTACCCAACATAAAAGAACCTAAAAATTCAAGCAATGGTGCACTAGCACGTGTTATGATGAAGGGATATACGGAATATTTACAAAGGTAGCCAAGCATCTACTAGAAAGCTGTGTGAAAGTATCAGAATCACATGATTAATTAAAAGTATGGCTGATGGTGAATGCCTGGTAATTTTGTTCTAGCTGCACCCACAAAGAACCGTGCATCCAAAGACATTATACTCAGATTATCAGAAATACGGATGAAAATTTTGTTTTATTTGTCTGTGCACGTTATGAAAAGCTTTCTGTACTTTTAGTCTTCTACAAGTTTTTGTAAAAAGCACAAAACCTGAACAGAGAGTAAAAAACAAGTCATAATATTATGTTTACGAAATTATTTCCTAGAAAGAAATAGGTGTTCAAACATGTACTATATGTAACCACTACTTTCTGAAGAGAAATGGCACAAAATCTGTTCCACAAACCTTTGGTGCACCAATTCCATCCTTCTTAGCTTCTATTACACTACCATGCGCATCAATTCGTTTCTTGACTATATGGTGTCGCTGCAAGTAGATGCGTCATAAATTGTAAATTAATGAAATAAGTGAGCATGGCATTCAAGAAAGCTGGTCACTAGCAGTATGATTGTGATAAAAATCAATGATAGGCATGTTCCTAACACAATTGAAATTGTCAAGGAAAATCAATTATCATCAAGAAGCAGCTGCCTGCGGTACATACTATGTCAAAATGCTGCTCTCCGCTAATATCCATTGTGTCAAGACTGAGTAATGAGCATCGGATAGCAGGAAAAGTTACATCAAACTGCAGTTTCAAACAAGAAACAGAGAATTAATAAATCTACAACCATTAACAAATATGCGACTATATTTTACACACAAAAGAACTACTCCATGTAAACCTACGACAGAAGTAAACCTATGAACATAACACGTAAGATGGTGTTCTACAAAACTATAATTTTCAAAAGAAGTTTAATTTAATCCCTGAAGTTATGGAAAATGACCTTTTTGACATTTATCACCCGAGAAGGGAGTGGGGAGGAAGAAAGGGAGATTACATTGATATGTAGGGTTTCTCCTCTTGAAGCATCCACAAGAAGCTTTGACTCTGTAACAGTGTGGAGGTATAGTCCTGCAAGCACAAACAAGTAAAAGATCTTATATAGTTTACAAAGATTGAAGAGAGCAGAAGGCATGATCATAATAAGCACTCGAGCATTCGCATAAACTAGAGCAGTAACACGATTACTATTGTGCTGTTTTTCTTATATACTTTTGATCCGTTGATTCATCACTGGCATTGGGTAGTGCTTGCTATCAAGGAAATCGACTTGCGAGTTAAGAAAAATCACAGGAGGAAGTAAGAAAGGTTATATTAAGGCGGTCATTCAGCATCATCTACTTCATCAAGTTATCAAGAGGTATAACTATGAATCCATTAGCATTATCCCCTAAGTTTTATGCTATACAAATCGCATAAATCAAGTGAACAAAGTATTTTCTTTTTGTTCTAACGCAATTGACTTGTCCTAAAAAACCCAAAACAATATCATTCAAGCCAACAGATGAAACCAAAACAATACAATTCAATTTCTGAACTTTTAAAAAAACAGAAGAGAAAAATCAAAATGAAGAAAAAGGGTTGGTTGAAAAGGCATAGAATTACGTACTGAGCTCGGAGAAGAAAAGGAAGAGCATGAGGAGGGAAGAGGCGAGGGTAATGATGCCACCGGAGAGTGTACGGCTGAAGAAATCGTCATTGATTTTAGGGTAGGCGTCCAAACTCCTCAGCTTCTCAAGGATACCACCGCCCCTGCCCATTCGCTTCTCTCTCTCTCTCTCTCTCTCTCTCTCTCTCTCTCTCTCTCTCTCTCTCTCTCTCACGCCACAACAAGTAAGGAAGGAAGGATGATGCGATTCGGGTATTTTGGTTGAGCAATTCAATTCAGCAGAGTCGACCCGACCAGAGTCAGAGATAGAGAGGGCCGGTTGACAAATTTTAATTTAGAATGACACTGGCTACTTATGTTTGTTGACCAAAACATACCGCAAATGTTCAAAATGAAAGGTTCATATTTTCTCGTATTGCCAAACGATACCATGTTAGAGTAGACGAGATTTGAATCTATGTCATGGTACAAGAGTAATATTTATGTTCAACATTGTCGTAGAAGACCCTTACACCAATCTAAAAATATTGAAAATCAATCAATTCGGGTAAATGGTTTTGAGTGATTGTATAATAATTCATTAAAGGTGAAATTATCATCTTGCACTCTAAGTAGGGGTGGGAAATTTTGCCATAAACTAATTTACCGACCGAACTATACCGATCGGCTCATAATGATATGGTATAATTTTGGCATTTTTTTCATAATTAGTTGGCATTTTACCAAACCAACAATTAATGGCATAGCTTTGGTAATTGATTTTGTATGTCGGCGGTATGTTATACCTACCAATATATATATATATATTTTTTTTCTTTTTCTTTTTCTATTTAGATAGTTTAGGTATTATATACATGCTTGACTCCTCAATTTTAGGGTTTAGAAAATAAATGACTCCTTAGTTTTAGGGTTTAAAAAATATATGCATATGTATATGATTCATGCCATAATAACTATAGAAAATATTGTTAACAAAATTGATAGCTTGATGATTACTGATACTATATATACAGGTACATACATATGATTTTGAATGTATATGCGTTGCTTATGTTTAGGATGATGGAGTCTAGCCAATCAACCGCTAGTGCACAACAAGGATTAACCCAAAATGAACCACACAATGCAACCGAACAAGCACCCCAATCTGAAAATCAAATTTAGCCCTTGGAACTGGAAGATAGCGAGGAAGAAGTGGAAACCCTTGGTTGTGCCATTTACCAACCGAACCAGCCAATAATTTTGACTGAACCAATTTTTGGCAACCGCAAGAAGACGGCTGGCTAGTGGTAACTGATTTTCAGTAATTATGTATATGTGGTTGGCAGATGGCACAAGGAATTTGGCACGGTTTGCCAACCGAACCAGTCTTAACTCTAAGGAGGGTGTATTGAATTGAGAATTTGAGAGATTTTAATTTTTTTAATGAATATAGGAGTATTTAATAAGGATTTTAAGTAATTATCTAAAATTCAATGTGTATTCAATCAGGATTTTAATATAGTTTATTAAAATCCTTAGAAAATTGACTGTATACAATTAGGATTTTAAAGAAGTTTATAACATTTCAGGTGTATTCAATTTAGGAATTTATCTTAAAGAATTTTAAAAAGTTGAGAAATTTGAGGGAATTGGAGAGATTTCGTAGTGCAATTTAAGTATTCACAAATCTCATCTCTCCTCCTAAGATTTCGAGGGAATTAAATCAAAATTATTCATGAAATCTTTACAAATCAATTAAACTCTCTTAAACTCCATGAATTTATAAATCTATTAAAATCTCTCATAGTGTATTTTTCTTTTTAAATATATAAAATTTGGATTGTAAAATATGAATTTAGAGTGATAATAAGAATTCTATTCATTAAAATTGATGATATTTGAATTATTGTGTCGTATAAGGCATATTTATATACCATATTAATAAAATTAAAAAAAAAAACTCATCAATTTAATTGATGATTAGAAGTTTTAAAAGACAAAAGATGTAACTGATACAATTTTTAAAAGGTTTTTTTCATTAGCATCCTATGAATATACCACACATATTTAATATTAATGACTTATAAGCACTAATATATATTGACAATTTTAACCTCATAAATTTTTTTTTTAATTTTAAAAATTTCTAAATGCTCCCAAATCACTTTAAACGGGTATATCCCAAATTATTTAGGGAAATATCCAGAAATGGGACAATTCCTCAATCTTGAAACAAAAATAGGACATTTCAAATATGCACACGAAATGCACAACAATTGGACAAAAATATGATTTTTTATACACCTTAAAATGACTTAATTGCCCTCGTATATAAATGGGTTATTTTGTCACATCCCAGTCTCGACTCCGTCGTAGCACGATATTGTCCGCTTTGGGCCTTGGCCACGCCCTCACAGTTTTGTTTCTGGGAACTCACACGAGAATTTTCAAGTGGGTCACCCATCCTGGGAATGCTCTCATCCAAACTCGCTTAACTTCGGAGTTCCGATGGAATCTGAAGCCAGTGAGTTCCCAAAAGGCCTCATGTTATAGGGAGGGGTGTATGTCCATATAAGGCACATCACCCCTCCTATTCGTTGGTCAATGTGGGATGTTACAATCCACCCTCCTTAGGGGCCCAATGTCCTCATCGACACATTTGCACCACACAATAGAGTGGCTTTGATACCAAATTGTCACAGTCTAGTCTTGACTCCGTCATAGCACGATATTGTCCACTTTGGGCCCCCGCCACCCCCTCACGGTTTTGTTTCTGGGAACTCACACGAAAACTTCCCAGTGGGTCACCCATCCTGGGAATGCTCTCGCCCGAACTCGCTTAATTTCAGAGTTCCAATGGAATTCGAAGCCAATGATTTCCTAAAAGGCCTCGTGCTATAGGGAGGAGAGCATGTACATATAAGGCACATCACTCCCCCTCCCCATTGGTCGATGTGGGATGTTACATATTTCCTCTCATTTTTTGATTTCTCTTTCTACTCTTTCTCCTTCCCCTTTCTTCCTCACACACCCTCTATCCATTTTTCACTGTGCACAAATGGTGCACAATCGTCCCAACCAACATCGTCCAAATCAAAGCCACCACCAATCTCATCTCATCCTTACTAGTCCAAAACACCTGGCCTTGTCACGAATCTCATCCCTGATCGTTGGGATCGAAACTCAAGCAGATCGCGAGTTTTCCGGCCATTTTCTAGCAACAGGCAAACAATCGAGGTTCGAGACCACCATCATTAGACTTGCATTGATGGTGGGAACAAAGCCCAGTCATTAAATGCTGGTGTTTTATTAGATGAATTATTCAGGATTTACTCACTATATGTACACAATATGATATGATATGATCACTGATCTGAGCTAACCCAAAAACCCAGAGCTCACATTCTCTGTTCGAAATAAAAAAAATGACGTCATCACCTGCCCATATACACTATATGCACCAACATGCACTTCATATGTATAGTACATGCACATGATATGCATAAAACTGGAGATCGAGTAACGAGCTTCTTTTCGCATTAATAAGAAACTTTAACGACAACCTATTGATATACTGGATACAATTAAAACATAATTTTTATGTATATAAGGTTACAGTGGCAGTTTGAAAAGTTTTGTTACATATATCAATCATCGCTTAACCGTGCACGTGGAAAACATGATACTCGTTGCCGTTATTTCATGGACATGCATGATCCTTAATGTCAACTTTTTCTTAATTTAGTTTTTCGCCGAGGCCAACTAGGTTGTGGTCATACTCGCTAAATTATGGGGCATAAATACATACATCATAACTAGTGAACATTCTCGCTTCTCATATTAAGATGTAGCCATGCACACTATATTCACATTACGAAAAAAATTTCACAAATTTATGCAATTGAACACTTGAACCAAAAATTGTTCCATTCCAGTTTTGTAGCACGTCAAAACCTAATATTTATTCCACAACCCATAGGCCCCAACATGAAACACAAACCCTGATTTAACTTCTAAGTATTAATTCATCTTACAAACAACCCATTTATTCCATAAATCATTGATGAAGAAACCTGGAGCTAAACAGCCTACCTTAATATGCCTGCCAAAGCTTTAGTTGCTGGAAAAACAAAACTTTCCAGCCAAAACGGAAAATATGGTACAAAACCTAGCTCACGCTTCTCACCTTTCTCGCATCCTTTTGTTCGAAATCAGAGGTATGAGGTCAACCCAAAACCCAGCTCACTCTTCTCACCTCTCTTTGGAATTCCCTCTCTTCGAAATCGGAGCTCAGAGATCTAAGCTCAACTTAGAAACCCAGAGCTCACAGAGCTTTCTTGACATCCCTCTCTTCCAAATGAGAAAAATGATGCAATGGGCTTCTGATTTTTAGTATTTATATGTGGTGTTTTAGTAATTTCGATTTTATGCGTAGCCGGTTTGTCCTATTTTTGTCCCAAGATTAAAAAATTGTCCCATTTTGGGTATTTCTCAATTATTTATCTTCTTCAACTCTCAAAATCACTCTCACCCTCCATTGTAGCTAGTATATAGATTATAATTATCCTTATTGGATTTGGAATAATAATTTCTTCCTCCCCTCCGCCCCCAAATAATAATCTTTATTGGTTTACACTTTGTACATCACCAAGGTTGATGCCATCTTCAACCAGTTGTTACTTGCAAAAATCGTCAAGCTTCGGCCAGGGCATAATATTCCCAAGGCCGAAGATTTGAAGGGAAAGACGAATTGCAAATACCACAACTCAAACAAGCATACTCATGTGTCCCGAGAAACCTCTAATGGTCGTTGATGCCGATCATTTCCCTTCGGCGACAGTAAGCATGGTAGATGTTCATCTACCCAAGGACAAAAGAAAGGAAAAACCCGAATTCATCTTGACGCAGTACGTCCCTAAGCAGAATTCTTGATTGCGATTGAAAGTTGATCTATCCTCGAACGAGCCACCCAAATACTTTTCAAACCCAGCTTATGTCGAGTTAATGTGGGACTTCAGCACAGAGGAAACTGATGGGCTGATGGTTTTATGTAGTCGGTGCAAATCAAATGTCATCATAACTGAGTTGAAGGAACAACCACTTTGGGCTGAAGCATCGCAATTGACGCCTACAGCTGTGGTAACATCTTAAAAGGTGCTCGGTGCAGGCCAATGCCAAAAAAATTTTGATAGGTTCGACCTCAAAACAAAATAACAAGCCGTCTTCATCCAAACGGCGACTTGATTTCGACGCGCCATTTTACAATGAAGATTATTATGTGCGTAACTTTGGTCGCTCAAGTTTACCCGCGAACCAATAAACCTTCACGATACCTGAGTCATGCAACCAACGTTGGTATAGCTATAACTCCC